CGAGCTATGAACATCTGTCTAGTCCAAAAAAATTAGGACTCCTATTTCATCCATCCACAATTTCACTTCACAAATTAAAAGGGGACCAACAAATGACTCATAATAAGTTAAGGAGAAAAAAAGAAATAGTCAAAATTAATAATAATAATAATAATAATAATTAAATATGAAAAAAGAAAAATTAAAATCAGCTTTTTTATTCACGGACGGGATTTTGGTTCACGTTGAACAGGAAACTCCGGTTGGGATCCGACGACGACGAGGCCAGATAATCGTCGCCGCTCTTCATAATCCCTTCTTCAGAAACACTTTCTTCGTTGACTCCATTTTCTCTGACGGCCCCATTTCCGGAGCAAGAAACCGCCACCCTCCTCCAGTTCCGCCATATCCTCAGCATTAGGTACACCAGAAACAAGCAAATCAAGGTCGCCGTGAGAACGATCGCCACCACGATCCCGGATACCTGAGACTCGGAGAGATATTTCCTCGTTCGCCGCAGTTTTTTCCCGCACTGAATTAGCGGCGGCCCGCACAGTTCGTCGTTGCCCTTGAACGAGCTCGCCGGGAATTTCGAGAAAGCCGACGGGATCTGGCCGTCTAGGAGATTGTACGAGACGTTGATATTCTGGAGGCTGGATAATCGCCCTAGCGAGGCCGGGATTTCGCCGTGGAGTTGATTGTGGGAGAGGTTCAGTTGCTCGAGCTTCACGAGGTTTCCGATCGACGAAGGGATTTCTCCGGATAAATTGTTGGAGCTCAGGTCGAGAGTGACTTGCAGCTCGCTGAGCGTGCCGAGTTCGGGTGGGATAGGGCCGGTGAGGTTGTTTCCCGAGAGCCTGAGCTCGAAAAGCTTTTTGCAGTGTTGAATTGTATTTGGGATTGTGCCTGAAAGGCTGTTTTTGTGGAGGTCTAAGACGTTTAGCAGGCTGAGGTTGCCGATTTCCGGCGGCACCGGACCGGATAGCCTATTGCTGTGAAGGGAAAGTGTGAGCAAGCTCGAACAGTTTCCGATTTCCGACGGTATTGTTGCACTGAAGGCGTTCGATGAAAGGTCTAGCTCACCTAGCTGCTGTATATTCCCTAACCAAGTGGGAATATTTCCATAAAATAGGTTGTTGCTGAGCAGAAGGTGTCGGAGTTTTGTCAGGCCTGAAAGCCCCGAATCCAGCTCGCCCATCAGATTATTGTACGACAAATCAAGAAACTGAAGCTCCGTAAGGTTGCTAAACCCGGGAGGAATGCTGCCATTGAAGGCATTATGAGCGAGGCGTAAACGTGTCAGGTTTAGGGACAGAGCCAGTCGAGATGGAATGGTGTTTGAGAAACTATTGTTGGTTAAGTCCAAAAGGGTTAGAGAATTCGAACCGGTTAATGGGAAAATGCTACCGCTAAGCCTGTTGAGCGATAAATTGATAGAGCTGAGGTTTTTGAGATGGAAGAAAGATTCTGGGATCGTACCTGATAACGAGTTGTTGTAGAGAGCCAAAAGAAAAAGTCCGGTAAGAAACCCGAATGAGGTTGGTATGGGGCCTGAAAGATTGTTGTCTGACAAGCCGAGTATCTGAAGCTGTCTGCATTTTCCTAAGCTTGCTGGAATCGGACCCTCGAGCCCGTTTTGCCTTAGGTCAATGTATTCAAGATTCTCCAGTTTCCCCATTCTCGGAGGAATGAACCCCGAAAATTGATTGTAAGAGAGATCAACTGCTTGCAGGCTCGAGCAGTTTGTTAGCTCACGAGGTATACTGCCTGACATTTGATTGTCTTCAAGGTATAAAGTGACTAGCTGCTTTAGCTTTCCGATTTCCACTGGGATTTGGCCCGTGATCATGTTTCCAGAGAGGTCTAAAGTCCTTATATTACTCAAGTTACCGATTTTGTTGGGCACTTTTCCTGTAATTCTGTTGTTACTGAGCAAAAGATCTGTTAACTTCTGGAGCTTGTCAATGTCATCCGGCAAAGGCCCGTCGATGTTATTTTCGGAGAGGTCTAATTGCTCGAGTGACGAGCAATTTACTATCTCAACCGGAAATGTTCCAGATAAATTGTTTCCGGCCAGGTAAAGCTGGGTCAGGTTTGGATTATTGGTGCAGAGATTTTCTGGTAGCCCACCTGAGAAAAAGTTGCCTGATAAAACCACACATTGAAGATTTGTGAAGTAGTTGAAAATGCTTATGGGCCCAGAAAGTTTGTTTCTTGATAAGTCCAAAGTGGACAACAGAGACAAATTGTTGAGTTCCAAAGGAATTTTCCCTCTCAACCCATTTCCTTGAAGGTTCAAATATGTCAAGTTCGATAAACGGCCCAACTCGACAGGGATCGGCCCAGAAAGACTGTTGTTGCCCAAATTCAAGATCTGCAGTGATTCGAGCCCGCCCATTGAGCCCGGGATAGTACCCATAATCATGTTATTCGCTGCGTTGAATTTCTCGAGCTCTTTGCATTCGCCAATCTCTTTCGGTAAGGTCCCACCGATATTATTATGCTGAATGTCCAAAAGTTGGAGATTCTTCAAATATCCAAACTCTTTTGGAATGCTACCATAAAACTGGCAATAAGAAAGGCCCAAGACTCTTAGCTCGGTCAAACTCCTCCCAATGGCCGGCAAAATATCACCAGTGAGCGTATTATTACCTATTCTGAGTATTTGCAGGTTCTTCAAAAAGGCAATCTCGGGAGGTATTGTGCCGGATAATGAGTTTGAGAAGAGCTGAAGCATTTGCAGGTTTCGAAGCTTTCCTATAGCAGGAGGGATGGAGCCAGAGAGGTGATTTTGAGATAAATCGAGACTTATAAGAAATGTGAGCTTTGAGATTTTTGGGGAGATGACTCCATTTAGGCCTGAATTCGGCAAATCGAGTGACAAAATGTGGTTATTGTCATCGGTGCACGTGACTCCGTACCAAGAACACATGCTCGTGTTTTCTGACCAGTTGTTGAGAACTCCAAACGGGTAGATAAGTTTGGATTTTATTCTTAAGAGCCAAAAGGCATCTGAGGAGTTATCAATACAAAGAATCGGGTCGAATGAGGATATGAATGTTGAGAAGAAAAGGATGAAATGACAAAAGTGAAGAGTTTCCATTAAAGGGGATAGGCTGAGAAAGAAATTGAAAGCAAGTGATCTTTTACATTAGGACTTGAGGAATAGGAAGAAGTAATGATGATTTTTTTTTTAAGGTTTTGTTAAGGTTTTGAAGAATAAGGTTGATGGATGTTGGCAAGAAAAAGTACTGCTAACTGCTGAGAGCAAACACAAAAGCTTGTTGGAGTTTATATAGTGGCATGGAAAAAGTGTCTTTGTATTTATGCAATTTCTTTAGGCTGTTGAGTGCCAAATACTTCCATTAATTCTTGAAGGTATTGTTCTAGTGTTCGGCTATGCAGGATCAGTGTTTTTGTACTCATTCAATTGCCATCTCAAATTATTTTTTTTATCACCATTTTTTCATTTATAAAAAAATTGGCCATTGATATGATGATATCCAAATCACAGCCGGTTGTTTTCACCTTTTACCGTATCATGAAAAGATGTTTTTGCTCATTAGTCCTTGTGTAATGATAGAAGCATGGTACAATGTTTTTAAGTTGCTTTCAAAGGTGGTTGAAAATAAAAAGAAGATAAGAAAGTGAAAATTTATTTGTTTTAAAAAATGGTACAAAAAGTGCTAGTAAAGAGAGCCCCAAGAAAATTCAAATAATATTAGGTAGGAATTCCCTTGCTGCCCTAGCTAGTGAATAAATTTGAAGAAAATTCTAGTAAGTAGATTTATGAAAAATCTTATTTTTGAATGGTATTTAGGAATAAAAAAAATAAAATTTGATTACATTAAATAAAAGGANCTGTTACTCTTAAAAAAACAAAAAAAGTTTAAGTACCTTTTACAACACACAAATTTAATTTGTGTATAACAGAGTCTAACAATTAAATGGATGCATCCATCATGCTTTTAATTATGCTACTTATATAAAAAATATACGTATTTATTAGAAACATATAATTGTCAATTAGTTAGATCCTTCTACCATCATAACCAATCAATTTCATTTCAATTTTATAATGAATTATGTATCTATTAAAAATCTTATCGTTCTTCTATAGGTTTTCTATTAAATTTATACGTAGATTTTGACGATAAAAAAATATTTAATCACTCTTAATTTTTCAAACTATGTTGTGATATGAGAATCAATAAGCTATAATACTACAAGAATTACAAACACCCATGTATTATATAAGTTCTAATTAATAGCTTTATACTTAAAATTTAAAAAGAAAAGAAATGTTCTTTTAAATTTTTAAATACTGCTTAAATTGATACTTTTATTAAGAATGACACTCATAACCTATACTATAATAATTTTTCTAACTCATAGTATATAATAACCTTGATTGGAAAATTCATCCCATTAATAATTAATAATTTATTACTACTTTTACTTAAAATTGATTAGAAAATTTAATTTTTCTATAAAGGTAGACATGCTTGTTTTATCTATGCAACGTAGAAAAGGATTGTTTAGTAATTTTATTGAACTTTTTAATCTTTTAAAATTTGAGGCATCGTTTTGTAAAAAGGTTTGGACACAAAATAATCATTAAAAAATAGGAAAAAAGAAAGACAAGGAAAAAACAAATAATAAACAGTGAGATATAATATTATATAAAAAAATCAATGGTCAGTCAAAAATAACAAATATGTATCACAACATATATACATTTGACCTTTGTGTTTGTGTTTTAAAATTGCATCCATCAACCAAAGATATTGGCAGTACTTTTAATTCTAAAAGTAAACAAATTTTAATAATTTGACTAATTAAACCTCTAAGAACACTTTGTCAAGTTCTCTCCAATTAAATAAGATGCAAACTATTATCCGCGTTTAGTAATTATAACCGTAACAGCTAAGTCCACCCCTAAAATTCTATATTTATTTTATTATATTTTAAAAGTTTAGAATTTTTTTTTTATATATAATTTATCAAATTTATCATCTTTTGATAATATTCGATTTTATATCCATATCACATGTACAAATTAAAATTCGTTTCATCTATCTTGATAAATAAATTTTAAATTTATTTACGAAACAAAATTCAATGCTTTTGAAATTTTAAATTTATTTACGAAACAAAATTCAATGCTTTTAANTTTTTTTTTTTCAAACATGGGTACGTTATACCTGTCTATCCTATATATATACATGTACAGGTATAACTGATATACATGTAACTTCCATGTATCTGCAATAACTGTATATCTGATGGCTAAAAACCCTCACGGAATCATTCGTATATATAGTACAAGTTATTTCTTAAACCATAAACATAAATATTAGGAGTACTTTTAATTCTAAAATTATCCAATTTTAATAATTTGCCTAAATCTCTAAGAACACCTTTTCGACTTTTGAGTTGTCCCAATTAAAAAAGATGCAAACTATATTGTCCACGTTTAGTAAATTATAAACCTAAAAGCTAAGAGCATCTCCAACCGTATGTGAATTGTGGGATGGTAGAAGCAATCTGATAAAAGAACTTCTCCAACAGCAATTTTCCACTCCTATTGGTGATGATGTGGCATGAAAGAGAAATAATAATTTTAGAAGTCCTTCTAGACGTATGAATCATTTTTTTCTCCTTATATATAATACAAAATAAATAGATAACATGAAGATAGAAAAAACTATTGGAGACTTTTTATGGTATTGAACCTCTATTTGTTCCACGTGGATGGAAGACCATCTATTTGATTGTCACACACACTACAATTCATGTTCACGGTTGGAGATGCTCTAAAAGTCCATTCTTAAGAAAATTGTTGCTTTTGCCATACCCATACTTGAACTTAAATGAACTATGTTTTATAGTATCACAAGTTTTTGTTTGAGAGAATTTAAGTGTTAGCCGGATTGATTCATCGGCTATACTTCTGTAACAAAAATGAATATTTATATAATGAAATATTATTTTTGATAATATTATTGTTTAATACTGTAACATTTTAGTTTAAAAGTATATAATTTATTAAACAAGTATGATTGACTATCATTAACTTAACTAGTCTAACCACAGTCTTAATGATATTTTATTAGAGAGACCAAATACCTTAAAAATTGGTCTTTTGCAATAGCAATAAAATAATTCAAATATCTATAATAGTTAAATAATCATTAATNACTATGCAAAATAATGAAAGGGAGACTCTTGTAATAATCAACCCAAAAATTTCTTTTTGTTTTATGGATATATATTCTTTGGAACAAAGTATGTGAAGATGAAAAAAGTTTAGCCTAAGAGTGTATTAACTTTTGACCAAGAATATATGTATGCATGCAAATGCTTGCTTTTCCGTGGCATGTTGTTGTATTTCATTGTAAGGTGGCTTTTAAGCATTCTATCAAACTATCAAACCATACTTTTAAATAATAATCATATATACAATATTTATGATCTCAAAATTTAATTAAAAATTGTTGTTGTATACAAGTATTTATTATTCAATAGAGTAATTAAATATAACAAATTATTTGAAATATGAATAAATGATATTATAAACAAATGATTAGTTCGTTTTTTGAGAATGATGTAAAGACTTGTATAGTAAATTCAAAACCATTTTTTTAATCTAATTTTTTTTTTTAAGTTTTCTATTATTTGGATCAAGTTTAATCACTTTCTCATATTTATAATATGAAATTATAAACCAATATATGATTCAACATTAAACTATATGGTAGATCTTGTAGTTAACCACCCCAAATAAATATTTTTCAACAAATCATATACATAGTCATATATAGTTTTAAAAAATATATATTTAACTTTCTAAATATAGAACTTTGAAAGAAAATATGTCCTTTCTATATTTTATATATAGATAGATAAATTTAAAATAAAATTCCTATATAGTAACTTATAAGTAAAAGAACGACCTAGAAAGGGCATATACATCTAATATAAGATACATTTCAATTTCTTGATTATTGCAGTATATCATGCAAACTCAACTTTATGCAACTTCTATATAGAAAATGTGAATTTGTCAAAAATATATTCTCTTAACAGGACTAAAAGTTAAAGCATGCATATCTATATATAATTACTTTTTTTCTCCACATTATTTTAATTTTTTTAATTATTTGCACCCCAATATTTGGTCGGTTGCATTAGTTACGTCAATGAGCTAATACGTAACTAAAGTATATGCATACATATATGTATGTATGAAATATGTGTTTTTATATTGAATTGTATTACCGAATAGAAAATTATAATATTCTAATTATTTTACTATTTGATAGCGGATAATAAAGTGTATAATCAATATCATATATATATGACTAAAAACTTTGTATACTAGCTGAGCGTTTAGTAAATAACGATTTGTATAATTATTTTTAAAATTTTATTTTGTTGTATTATTTTAGGAGCCACGTATCAAATCTATATCAGAGTATATATATGTCACATATTTCCAAATAATGACATAATTGGGATTTCTTATTACCTTTGAATAGGTAGAGAAAATATGCCTGCTAATGAATTTTGATAGACTCATTTACAAGTCTTCTCTCATATATGCCACGGATAGTGCACGTGCCACGAACAATTTTCTCTATCCAAAAGATTGTTCTATTGAAAATTTTCAAAATTAACATTTTGGATTAAAAAAACTAAAAAAATTTAATCAAATTAATAAATTCTTTACTAAATAAGCTAGTTAGTTGTGTTGACGGATTAAAACCACTAAATAAATTTAACATCTAAACGAGTCAAGTGGAAAATACCCAATAAATAAATTTAATATCTAAACGAGTCAAGTGGAAAATCCCCCAAACCAAATCTAAAGAATTAAAAATAAAGAAGTTACAAATTTACTAATAAGTTTTATTGATTCCAGAAGTTTTGAAAATTTGTCTATTTATATATACGACACTACATAATAATACAACAAATTATCGAAAATTCTAAATATTGCTCTTCTAAAAACTCTCTAATATCTTATCTGCATAATATATTTTAATATTATTAACAAATTATTAACAAATCGTGAATAAGCATGACTTATGCGACACGTTTACTCTATCGGTGGATGGGTAATAATATTTTTCTAATTTCCATCATGAAAAAAATATTATTATATAATTTAAACCCTAAATATTCTACACAAGCGTGACGCATTAGTTTCATTGACAATTAATTTAGACGCAAATAAGCTAGAAAATCCTGACTTCCAATTTCATTGACTGTTGAAGATACACGTGTTTTAAAGCATGCATCACATAATAATGTGCATAAGATTTTCCGAAAAATCGAGTTTAAAATAAAATGTTCAATTAAGAAAATTTGTTAGAGATCAAATATCATATTAGTTACTTCTTTTTTCACTTGAAAAATAATCTTCTAGATTAATTTTTTATTTATTTATTTATAAATTCGTGGAAGAAAAAACGAGTAATATGGATTTCTCTATAGAAACCAATTGCAACCATAAACCTAATCACTTATGGTATGTTCCCTTTTGCAGAAAAAATAAAAAACAAAGCGAATGTCGACAGAGGCTAATAACCACTCCCAAATTAAGAAACCAAAATGTAGGGAATAATTGAGATTTGACTTAAAAATGACATTAACAGAGAGATGAATCCAAATGAGAAAGTACATTATTGTTGCTTTCTGAATGTAATAAATTAAATCTAGCAATAATAATTATCCAGCGGTTGAGGTTTAAATATTATAACTATCCTTGAAGTTTTGCCTTGCTTACAAAAAGTATCGATTATAATAAATAAATTAATATATACATGTACAGGCTGTGTTTATTGGAAAGAGTTGCTCCTGCGATTGGCTATCAAACGTTCTTGTATGCTTAGTTAAGATTTATCTTATTGAAACAAGAAATGAATTGAAAAAAAAAAAATCACAGAAAACACTATTTACAATTAAAATATAAAAAGTAATCAAAATGTAATATAATTTTCATTAAGAAATACTATTCATCCACTCACATACTTCTAATTAGTCTTATCATTTAATATTTTATTATTTAAATATCAAATATAATTTAATCATTACATTTTTACGTCACATTTGTAATCTCAGTTTTATCACACTTTTCTATTTTTTTTTTCTTTTAACTTTTCAAATTAGATAAATTTTTTCGAAAAAATCTTATAGTCAGGGGTTCTAATATAATAACTTCTTTTGTTAAGAATAATATCCCTTAAACCTCATTTTTCATGTTTCAACGTGCCACATCATTCAAACTCAAAGTGCTAACTCGAATCACACTTCGCAGATCAATTTCCAAATACAAAGTGAATTTCCGAACACGAAGTGCTCAACTCCACTTCGAATCATACTTCGCAGATCAATTTCCAATGAGGATTGTATATCAATTTAATTTACAATTACCCAGAAAAAAAAAATAAAAAAATAAAGAAAAATTAAACCAATCTAGTTTTGCACCTCCTGACTCCTGAGTTCCGAGGGTTGGCTCCTCAATACACACATTAACTGTAAAACAATCCTAAAATTTTTTTCATAGTCCAACCAAAATTCGACTATTTCAATTAAAACCCAAACCCATAAATTATAATCAATGTAATGAAAAAATGGAACATATTTGAAAAACCAGCATTATATTAACCCGTTCTAAAACCCAAAATCACTAATCATCAAATATCTCCAGAAACAAAATCAAAACAGTACAATCAGATCAAACATAAACCACATCTTTATTCAACCAAAGATCTCTCAAGCATCAACCATCTGTAAATAATAATATTATTGGGATAAAAACCACCCGAAAATCAATCGACAAAAGGAGTACCACATTNTTCCTCTCACAAGGGGGAAATGAATTAAATAAAAAAAAAAGGCTGTAATTCATTGATGCAAACTGGAAAAATCTCTTGAAAGAAAAATACTCCATCTATAAAAGATGACACTTCCTCATAACCTTGAGCAGTTTTCTGTAAAAGGGCCACATAAAGTCGCAAAAATCGAGGTAACTCTCATACAACCATCCTCGAAGATCCTCGATTCTTTTCCCGAGTAACACGTTCCTGTCCGTGTTATTTATAACTTCCAAAGGCTGACCCCATATGTATACCAGCATTGTTTCTTTAAGTTTCCCCTGAAAAATGTACTGGTGCACGAGCAAAGAGTAAACGGGTATTTTCATCACTATTTTGAACATCTGCTTGAATGCAAACACATAGAACCCAAATATTGCGCTGAAAATCTTCACGTTAAGAGCCGTAATCAACGGTCCCATAATCCAAAGGGGGGTTAATTCTTTCGATACCTCAGATCCGTACATAATGTTGACTGCAATGTAAACAGGGGTGCTGCGAAATACAAAGAAGTAAAGTTAATAATAATTTGCTTTAGGGGAGGTCGGTTGAAAAAATAAAAATAAATAAATAAAATAAAGGGGCATGAGAAACCATTCCTAAAAAGTTGCCTATAAAATAGATCAAATTGTGGGCAGAGGAAAACCAAAACTTAAAAATAAAAAAATCAGCATAATATACCCTCAAGCTACTTTCTTTAGC